GTAATGCAATTTCACCAAATGCTACAACATTCGCTATCAATTCAATGTGGAGGCAACGATGAAGACAAAACGACAAACCGACACAAAGTAAAAATACCAACAGAAAAAAAGCTGTCAGGACAGATAGAAAGCAGTGGAAAAAAAAATTTGCCAATGGAAGAGAAAAAAAAAATGGCACAACGAATGAACGACGATAACGACAACGACGACGACGACGAAAAAAAAAATATCGAAATGAAATGCTTTTGATGAATCGAAGTGAACTGCTTCATATGAAGAAGTACATTTCTATGGGTGAGATTGAGAGTGGAGTATGTTTTTTCTTCGATTTATATTTTTGAAAAGGCGAGTATGTTTTCTGATGATTCTGTTGGCGTTAAAGTAGAGTATGTTGTAGTACCGTCTAGCCTCCGCGGTCTTCATGGTTTTCGCGCAACTGATAAAAGATAACAACATGGTGTCTTCGGCAAAGTTGTAGTACTTGAGGTCTTCTATAACTAAACTGAAGACAATTATCTCTTATCTCTTATCAGTTGCGCGCAAATCGCGCACATAAAAAAGCAAATTTTATATAGAACTTTTTTTTTCTTATCATTTTTCGCGCTTTTCGCGGAACTAATAAGAGATAAGAGATAACTGTCTTCAGTGATGTTATAGAAGACCTCGAGTGCTACACCTTTGTCGAAGACGCCAAGTTGTTATCTCTTATCAGTTCCGCGGAAACGTGAAAAACCGCGAGGACCCGCTAAAAACGAACATACTCGCTTTTAACCATTTTTAAGTCGACAGAAACTTGCTCTTCTCTTTCGTAACAAAGTCAATCAAACATACACTACTCTCAATCTCACCCATAGATTTATGATTTGCCATGATTATTATTGTGATGAACTTTTATAGCGGAGGATTTTTATTCCAATCACACTCGCGCTCGCGCCCGCGCTCTCACACCGCATACAATTTTCATTGAAGCATGCTATGCTGCTAGCGCCAACATATTATTGCCATTCGGATAGTTTGCCTTGGATTTGTTTTCTCCTTCTTTTTTCCTCGTGCGCTCTCCCTCTTTCGCGATTTACTGATTTTCTTTGCCGAGTTTGTATTCGATCCATTCCTTAACGTTAGTTTGTTACACATTTTTACATGGATGGATCGAATGAATTACATAGCGCACGATACATAAAAAAGGCGATCCGTATAAAATACCGATATTGATTCGGTTGCTCAATAAATGGAATACGAGAAAAGGTTGGTGAATAATGAAAGCAGCAATGGGGAGAAAAAGAAGAAGAATAAGAAGAAGAGATATTTTGTATAAATGTAAAACCCGAATTCAATATAAAATGCGACCGACGAAGTGAACAGGGACGAAAATCAGCAGAGAGCTACGGAGCTCGAGAGAATAGAACGGCAACAGAAAAAGCAATGTGTACCAAATTTAACCGTATATTAAGCATTGTACAAATATTATGTGCACTTGGGCACTTGGTGTGTAAATGGAGCTGTATATACTGCCTGAACGGTAATACCTAGATTTGACACGTGAAAATAAGCAGCATTCGTGAAGGAGAAGTCATCAGGCAGCGATGAGAGAGCGAGAACGTGACAGCGATAAGGAAATTGGATAGACCGTTGAGATTGTTACAATCCATCTATATTTGATACACCGGAATGTTTCTCCATTTTTCGCTTCATCTTCTCTCGTTCGCTCGTCGACTTTTTGTCATACACCGTTTCCGACTGATAATTATTTATTTGTGCGCCGATGTAATTAAATTCCACTTTGGATTTTATTTTTCTGTTTTGCTTATCAATTATTTGACGAAGGCGCAAAGTGATCAACATTTACGCACAGAATTTATGGCCATTCTCTCGGGGAAGTCCATGGATATTTGGTAAACACAATCAAAATGAGAGAATTACCAAAATCTGCTAGATATCCAATCGAAACCATTGAAAAAAAAAATCTGAAATTTCATTTCGATCCATGAAAAACGCTTAACTTTCGAGCCATACTCTAAAAAAAATGGAAAAAAAAATCACACTTTTTCGAGTGTTGTTCTGAGATTTACTTTGGGATTCAGAAATAACTGCGATTGCATTTCTAAAATAACAGATGCGAGGGCAAACATCATACAGATTTGTTTTTTGCAGCAGCACCACCACCACCACCACCAGCGTATCTCACTTTTTGTGTACTCTGTCGCTCGCTTACTCGTTCGCTCGTAAATCAACTTTCGGTCTGATTTTAATATTTTTGCGCATTGAGCCGAAGCGATTACATTGAAACATCACACAAGAGATATATATTGCTTTGATACGCGAAGCTATTGCTGGCTTTCAAGCACTCGGAGTGTCTTTCTCTTTGTACAGTGTGTACATGTAGCACGTTCCGTGCGGCTCAATTGGCCAAAGTGAGACAGTTGATTTATATGTGCTCTCCGAAGACGCGCCGCTTCTGCTGCTACTTCTACTACTGCTACTGCTATGGTGTGTGCACGTATGGATGGGTATCATTGGCTCCGCCCACTTTTACTCTGTTGATTGGCGTACTTTAATAAACTAATCTCACGATATATATCGCAAATGTATTAGTTACATTGTTGTTGCGCGCCTCAACACACAAACACATCCACATGCACACACGTGCGCGCACACAAACAGTCGCTCGTTCTCTCTTTCACATCGGCACATATACCAACACACATACACAGACGCAGACAACAGTAACCAACTCGAACTGGATATACATAATGCGATGAACGAGAGAGAGAGAGAGAGAGAGAGAGAGATTGTGAGATCGCTTGTTATCCGACAATTGCGCGAACAGCAGTATCACCGAACACAAAATAAATAATAATGGAAATGGATATAGTGTGTATTTTCGGTTCTCGTTTACGTGCACAACGAAAACTCGACGCCTGGATCTACGCTAATCAATGCGCAGAAATTCACATTTTTCGAAATGGATTTTTTTTTTCGTTTGCGTTTGCGGAAAATGTTTTCCATTTTTTGTCTTCTTTCGGAAAGATTTTTCTTTTTTCGGGACATTTTCAAAATAGATTCGTATCAAACAGAAATCGACGTTTTTCCCGATCTAACAATATATGTTCATCAGAATATTGGTGGCCGTGGATTAATACAGAAAAACAAACTGTTATGTGTATGTGCATGAATCGAATGGTGGAGCTGCGGCGGCTGCTGCTGCTGCTGTAACAGAAAACGGCAATGTGATGCTGATGACACTGTATGCTGCCACTTTACCAGTTTTTCATTGTTGCTTCTCAGTTTCCTATACGAATTTCGTGTTTCTGCCTCTGCTGCTGCTGCTGCCGCACGCGTATATATTTGGTTGTTTTGTGATTTTTTTTTTTCTTCTTTCCTTTTTGTTATTTGTAGCTCTATTTTTATTCAGTCTCTGTCTCTGTCTCTCTCCTTCTATCTCTCGTGCAGCTGGCTTTGATGGTGTGTGAGCGATGTAGTAGTTGTAGCGATGATATTATTTGGATATTTAATTTAGGTTTGGGGCGTTACGTTACACAGTTGCCCTTCTTTTTCCACATTGATTTTTGCGTGTGTTCTTTTTTTTCGTTCGTTCTTTCTTTCTATTTCTTTGCCATGACACTGTGCTACCAAATTCAGCCTTTCAACTGCTCATAAATTGTATCTTTTTTTATCTTCTTCTCTATGTTTCGAATGTGTACATCGTCGAAAGTAACATTTTCTCCTTCTGTGTGTATCACAATCGTTTCGGTTTGATATCAATTTTTGGTTGTATTTCAAATATACGTGAAATGAAAAAAAAAAGGGTAGGATATATTGAGAGCTTTTCATTTTGTTCATAAACATATGCATACACATACCATATTTCGGGCAGTAAAAGACATTTTGTGTGCGGCCGTCTCTCGATATGCCATATCACACACAAATCACTCACATAAACCAGTTTTTAGGTGTAATGAATATGAAATGTATACAATTTTTCGTTGAAATTCAGCCACACTCATTCACTTCGCTCACTGGCCCATTCTCTTTCGCTTGCTCGCACATACCGTAGGTTGAAAAAAGGTGAGCGCGACCCAATAAATGGCATTGAAATGAGTGCAAGCAGCACGGAAAACATTGTAAGCAGCTCTTTCCCTCCTTCTCTCTCTCTCTCTCTCTTTCTCTTTCTCTCTCGCTAAATGAATATAAATGAAATACATGCAAATGACACGATCGCAATATATACCTCTACTCGATGGTTTAATACACCAGTGATGACGATAGTTACGTTATGGATGATATTTTCGTTTCGGAATATAAAAGCGAGCGAGCGAAATAACAACAAACAAGCTGGGAAAAAAAAAAGAGGAACGACTGAAGCATTTCTCTCGCGCGATCTCGCTATAAATTTTCGTATAGTTCGACCTCTTCGCCAAAGCCCCGCGCATACTAGAACTGCTGCTGGTGTCGCAGTGCGGAATGCGTGCGAATGGAAGGGAAGAAGCGGTGTGAGCGAGACGCCAGCAGATCGCATCGCATGTGAACGTGCATATGGGCATGTTAAATAGACATATTGTATTCGGTAGATTATCGTAGTTTCAGTGTGTATATAATGAATAGCAAACAATGAGTAGGCAACGACAAGGGCAACTGGCTGGTGTGCAGAGAAGCCGTGTGTAGTGTGTATAACACAAACACACATTGTGTGCCTGTAAGAGCGATGAGGCTGAGTAGAAATAAGCTTCGGGAAAAAGCCATCCAATATACGGGCGAATCAACACACAGAGAAGCGGTGCGGCCGAAACACGCATACACACATACACACATACACATACACATACACAACAGCAACGGAGAACCCGAAGAGTCGCACAACAAAGGCAAAAGAGGCGAACGAATAGCAGACACGAGAGACGAAAGAGAGAAAAATGGGAAAATAAAATGTAGGCTGTGTGTAATTTATATGGGGTTTAATGTTTCAACATTTATGAAGCAGTCGGTAGTAGTCAGTGAACGGTCTTGCCAAACGGATAATATTCGATCGAATAGAAGACTAAACTTCTCACTCGCTGCGTCTCTATTTTCGGTGTGTTTATTTTTATTCGTTCGCCCAACGTGCTTCTGTCTGCGTGTGCATTTCGAGTTGGATCACAACCGTTAGCGCAACACAAACACCCAGAGAGACATAGAGATATTATATTATTATTTTTTTTCGCCCAATTCCGTTTTTTCCATTCACTTTACACAATTTCTTAGTTTGTTTCTTTCCGTTGAGTTTTTCACCTCAACCGATTTCACAAAAGCAAACAGTTTTCAGTTCTTTTTCTCGGTCGAAACTTCTTAAACCGCTAAATGAAAATTGTTTGTGTTTAATACGTTGAATTGCACAAATTCGGTTTCATCATCAAAGGACAAGTTTCAGTTTTCTGTTCGAACTAACATGAATGAATGATAACATCGGCATCGATGAAATTGTACGGTGTGTTCTTGTGATATGTGATAAGTTTTGTGCATCATAAACAATTCGTACAAAGTGGCTGCTATTGAAGAACAACAAACGATGATCGCACTGTTCTACGCAATTCTGTTCGGCAAATGATCGGGCAATGTTGGAAATATTCTCAATCGAAAAGTGAATTATGTGAAAATTGCAAAGTTTCTATGACATTTGAAACCAATTTGTATAGCGCAAGTGGTCAAAAGTATACCATGAAAAGTCGACGGTGTGCAAAACTTTGTTCGAGTAAATAAAACAACAAAAAAAATTCAACGACTCAATTCATTTAGTGCAAAGAAAAAAAAAACACAATTGAAACAAGTTCTAGTGCGCTCCATTGCGAAAACGGTGATAAGCCAAGCGAAAAAAAAAAAATAAATAAACATAGAGGCCAATCAATCGAAACTAATAAAAGAAATACATTTGTGAATTACGATTACAAAATAGCGCCGAACATAGTCAATCTGGCGGTCGCTCGACCTTCCATGGCAGTCGGTAGAGGAACAGGAGGTCTTAGTCCTCCTGTACCATTGCAAACGACACCAACGAATCCAGGTGAATTCCACGAAAAAAAAAAGTGTTTTAGTTTTGATGGAATGTTTCACTCCCCTCTTACGAAGCACCTTCCACTCGCGAAGCAATCTAAACATCCACATCTGAAGCGATTCAATTGAAAACTTGGACCATTGAATGGACTAATGTTTTGAATTGAATCATTTCAATTGGATTTTAGCTTGAAATTAACCATGATTTTATTCCCTTTTCGATTTGGATTCGCAGTCGCGGCATCTGCCACACATTTAAATCATCATGTGGCTGCAGTAGCTGCAGCCGCCGCCGCTGGACATCATCCGCATCCGATTTTAGCACCAAGCCCATTATTTGCATTGCCAACGCTAAATTTTACGGCATCACAAGTGGCGACCGTGTGTGAAACGCTCGAAGAATCGGGCGATATCGAGCGTTTGGCCCGATTTCTATGGAGTTTACCGGTTTCGTTTCCAAATTTACGCGAACTAGAGCACTCGGAAGCGGTGCTCCGAGCCAGAGCCATTGTCGCCTATCACACTGGCCAATTTCGGTATGTAACATTGAGAAGAAGATTGTAGATGAGTAAATGATGTGCATTGAAACGGCTTTTGGTAGTTTCCAAATCTCCGCAGTTTAGATGATGATAGAAGAGCACTTTCGCGGTGTTAAATGTCGAAATAGGTTGGATTATTGTTAAAAACGATTTCGAAACAACGTACCGTGATCGTTCATCTTTTTCCAAAATTGAACTCAATTGAGACCGACCTTTTTCAATGAATCGCTTTCTAGATCATCTCATCGTTCCGAGACAGTTACGGATCGGAATTAATGAAAAATTACAATTGTTATTCCACGTCTGAAATCGTGTACAAAATTTGAAAAAGTTATTTTCGAGTAGAAAATGAAGCCCAAATAAATTGAATTCCAAAAAAAAAAAAAAAAAACGACCAAATGCCGTTTCTCAAAACGCACCATCTATTTTAGTTTATCTCTATTTTTGATGAAATTTTATATTTCTGAATTCGATTTTTTTCTCCATTTTTTTTTTTATTTCAACATTATGTCCATTTCATGAATTGTGAAAATCCAAAAAAAAACAACAGTGAACTGTACACAATTCTCGAACGGCATAAGTTCACAAAGCATTCGCATGGGAAATTGCAGGCAATGTGGCTGGAGGCACACTATCATGAGGCGGAAAAATTGCGTGGACGACCATTAGGTAACAAAAAACACATCGTTCAAACACAACCAATTGAAAATTGTAGATTGGTCAAATTCCGTTGTTCCAGGTCCCGTCGATAAGTATCGTGTGCGAAAGAAGTTTCCGTTGCCACGCACCATCTGGGATGGTGAACAGAAGACACACTGTTTTAAGGAGCGAACACGTAGCCTGCTGCGTGAATGGTACCTGCAAGATCCGTATCCAAATCCAACGAAAAAACGTGAACTAGCCCAAGCCACGGGTTTGACACCTACACAGGTTGGCAATTGGTTCAAGAACCGAAGGCAACGTGATCGAGCTGCTGCTGCTAAAAACAGGTAAATTTTCCCGCAAACGCATTTTTTTCTTCGTGAAATGAAAAAACATTTCTATGAATGAATTGGCCGCGTCACTATTTACGCATTTCGGTCAATATTGTCGTCCATGCAAAAGAATAGTCGACAAATACTAACCTATGAATGAAGAAGCCATTTCTCACTTTCGGAATCTATTATCGTAGATTGTTAACAATTACGGAAAAAAAGACAAAATACTATAAATAACAATGCCCTAAAAGCCTAATGCAAGTAACAAACGATAACACAGAGAGAAAGAGAGAGAGAGAGAGAGAGAGAAAATAGTACATGAAAATGCAAGTCTGTACCAAAGTGATGCATAGACCAAAACAAAAGCAAAAGAGAAAAAACAATAAAACGCTTTAGAAATAATAGCTGTAAAAAGTGAGTGGTGTGTTTGTGTAAGTGAGAGCGGTTTTAAAGTGTGTAGTGCATGTGACAAAACGGGACAGTGTCGCAGATAACGAAAAAAAAGCGATGAATGAATGAAGAAGAAGGAAGTAAACAAAAAAAAAAAACATACGACAGACAAAATCATTAAACCATCGGAAGATTGTAAATGGTTCTAAAAATTACAATTTGCATTGCACCAAAGAGAAGAAAGCAACAATTTCGCAATCGAATTTACGATATTATTCGGATGGTGCCGATGAATGTTGTTCAGTTGTAAAAGGCAAACAATGCGTATTTCGGTTGGTGTTGAATGAATTTTGTCGAAATTCGTTTTTTTACTGAATGAAAATAGTGGCAGTGTCTGGTGAATACGTTTGCATCCTTTGACTTTGCATATTATTTACCTGAGAACATGACCATTTGGTATATATGATGGATGTCCTGTTTACCTCAACTAGCTAGTAAAAACAAATTAAAGTACAATTTATGAGGTGCAGTTTTTGTTTCGGAAAACAAGAACAATTTTTAAAGACAAAAGTCCAAAATTGTCACCATTTTTCTCCACCAATTATACCATTGTCTTTGTTGTTAGCCTGAATCAAACGCACAACTTAGGATTTTTTTTTTGAAAATGGTATCAAAACTCCGTGTTATACGGTAATTTGAATATTCTTTAGTGTGTTGCTAATGATTATATCTTCTTCACCAAATCACCCAGTTACACAACTGTTTTTCCGTGTTCAATCTGGTATGCACAATATTTCTGTGCCTATTAAAATATTCGTTATTTAGAAAGAACAAAGAAATAGAATCCAAACGGTTCTTTCTTTACCATCCATTTGAATTCTGTCCATGCCATCTGAATTTGATGACAAACATAAACATACAGAATCTAAACGAACGGCCAGAAAAAACTCATACAAAATCCAACAAAAGAAACACATCATAAGAAGGAAAAAAAGAAGATGGTGTTAACATCTGGTTTCATTGAGAGAGAAGAAAAAAAAACCGTAGTCGATAATAATAACAAAACCAGTTGAACTAGAAGGAATTGTGAATAGTGTTGATGCCAATTTCGGCGAAGCTCATTTCAAATACGACAACATATCACATACACAATCGATGAGAGAGAGAGAGAGAGAGAGAGAGAGAGAGAGAGAGAGAGAGAGGGAGAGAGAGAGAGTAATTCGAGCACCACACTAATAATGTTAATGATGTTTTGATATTTGTCCATCTCTCTTGTTTTGTTCTCGTTGATTTGCCATCATAAAAATCATACGCACACTTCGCCGTTGATGTTATGATTTATCGTTCGATTTGGTTCTGTGCACAGCTTGTCGGCAGCAGCGGTCCGCGTTCAATCACATCTCGTTCGATAAATTATACCCGAAACATTTATTACAATACATTTGTTTCGATGATTTCCATTTGTCTTCCCGTTTACTTTTTCCGATTGTTTTTCCTTGTCTTTTGTTTCAAAAGTGTATTCGTTTTGTTCTTGTTATTCAATGTTGACCCAGTCGATGAAAAAAAAAAAAAAACAAAGTTCTGTTCGAAACGTATGCCGTTCATCATGTTGTTTGGTCATCGATGTGTGATTCAATTGTGGTCACCACGAAAACAAGGACAAAAACAGAAGCGAGCTACAGATGCAGCGAGCATTTATACGCATTGAGTGATTATAATGAGACCACATGCTGTGTGTCACACATACTTTACACTTGGCCACTGCGATCCCTGTGAAAAACGAACGACGAACTGTCCGTTTATTTTGAGAAATTCGGAAACGGTCACCACTTCAAACTGACTTTTGTGACCAGTCGAAAATTCGGTTGACATCTATTTCGGTACACAGATTTTTTTGTTTCTTCTTGGAAAAAATAGACGAGCTGAAAAAAAACTAATTCGTAAAAAATGTGGTGCTCAGTCGAGTTTGATCTATATTTTTTTTTTCCAAAAGCATCACAATATCAGTTCAGTTCCACTTATTACGTTTTTACGTTTTCCATGTTAACCACCTTTTCATTGAGGACCAACATCATATGATTGATGAATGTGAATCGATTTTTTTTTTCCAATTGTAATTTAATTTGAACGATTTGTCGGCTATTGTGTGATTTTCTGCACATTTCATTTTCAATTTGGACACGCGATCACTTCAAACGGACCCACAATACATCATCATCCTATGAATATGACACACATTATTCAAAGTGAAAAGAAACAATATTAGCCGACAATTACGTACAGAAGGAAACAAAATTAGATTTCGAGCAAATATCAATTTGGAAGCTTGATTCTTAATTTGAACATGACAACGGCATCAATCAAATGGTCCCACTCACCGTTGCGCACGCAATCCGTGCATTTAAATTGGTGAAAGTGTAAAGGTGAATCAAATGTGATTGATTATGAGGTCATCATGTGCAGTTCAAAAGGGCACACATTCTTAATTATTTTCCATTATTCGCCAATAAATCGACATATTTTATTATGAAATTTTTAGAAGAAAACCTTTCTAATCATCCACATCCAATGTTTTATCTTTCCGTTTCCATTCGTTTGTCCCCCTTTTGGAAGTGAAGTTTTTATAATTTACATTTCCTAAAAAGAACTGGATATTGTCAAAAATCGTCTTTATTTTCCATCATTTTCTCATCGTTTGGCAACAGAGGGTCACAGCCCATTAGTCAGTTCATAGTGTTTCTGGTTTTTCCCCAAAGCAAAAATGGACTCGAGCTCTTGAAAAATTGTTGTTGTTTCTATTTTGTGGTTGAAAGAACATATATTCGCTGTTAGAAAAAGCTTATGTCCAGCTAACATTGTTGGATGGGAAAAAGTGATTTAGTTTAAATATGTTTCCGGTTTAAAAACAACGAGCACAAAAGGAACAAAAAATTAATGAACTCTAATCTCTTGTTTCTATTCCGTGTGCGTGTGCATGTGCTTGCGCATGTGTGAGTTTGAGTTTAAATGTATTCTTACCTCATTTCTCTCATTGTTTTCTTGTGCACAATGCGTTCAAGAAACATTGGTCAATACACGTTGGCTGATGACTTTGCATTGGAAATAATCACCATTTAACGGATGTGATACAGTCAAATCCCAAAGAACACTGAACAAACACACAAAGTGTACGATCTTCTAAATTTGTGGCATTGAACTTTCACACAATACATTCACTGCCGACGGCTTTTGCCATTCACATTGAATATTTTTGTATCGTATTTCATTTCGATAAAATATTTTTGGAATTGTCGAAACAAACTATCATCAATATTTTACAACAACAACAGATCAATATTTTCGAAAAGTTCATTCGAAGTCATTGAATTTAGTAAAAACGTTTAAATTCCTCCCATCATTGATATCATTTGACCATTTTACTAATGCAATACTTAAAATTTCATCATTGATCATATGAATTTGATGAATTGTTGATACAAAAAGTCTTCTATAGACGATTTTTACTTGACCCATTTAAATTAATGGTCGATTCTAGTCGATTAAGGCAGAAATGCAACAGCGCTCACAGGCGACAAAAATTGTGAATATCAAAAGAAAGCAAAATGTGAGATTGTTATGGATTTGGTGCATTCGGGTGGAAGAACACACGGAGTGTGTCATTTCATGCGAATTGAATTTTGTAAAAATGTGTGTGTGTGTGTTTGTGTTTGTGACACTAATGCCATTTGATCACACATTCTTGCAACTGCATTGGCCCATATATTATCGCCTTTCGAATTATTTCGCCTCATTTTCTTCGACTTTTCTCTCTCTCTCTCTCTCTCCCTCCCTCTCTCTCTCTCTCTCTCTCTCTCTCTCTCTTTCTCTCTCTCTCTCTCTCAATTCATATTAATTGAATGTGTATAATATTTGGATTAAATTCATGTGTGTTTTTTGTGTGTGGTTCAGATTAAATTCAATGTTGCCTCTGTCTTTTTATTGTATTCGATCGAAAAGGAGGTGTTTAAAGTAAGTCGTTCATTCTTAACAGCTTTCCATTGGCTGTGGTGACATTTAGCCTCAAAATACCATTCCAGTCATTCAATGGCTTTATTTTTTTCATTCATTTGTCTTTTAAGCACTATAAACACTGGTCTTACGTAATACACACATCCCGAAACACCAATTTCAATAAATTGGATAATCAGTGTAGTTTTCTTCAATTGAATCGAGAGAGAGAGAGAGAGAGATAAAGAGAAAGAGAAAAAAAATGAGTATTTCGTTCGACTTTTCCGAATTGTATTGTTTTGTTTTAATTCCATCTAATAAAACAGAGAGATCAAACCCAGCAAGACACAGAAAAATCTCAAATAATAGATTTTATAAACTTCGACACAGAAAAAAAAAGATCGAAAATGCAGAGACGAAGAGAGAAGAAGAGAAAAAACGAGAAGAGAAACAGTGAAACAAACTAACTAACTATTGACAAGAATACAATGGCTTTCATGATTCAGTTTTCGGTTGTTTTTCTCGTGTGGTGAGGTTTGTGTCAGTGGTTCTATTGTCGATTATGATTATGACATACACAAAATAACGCCTACTGCTACCGATTTGTTTTTTTTTTTTCGTTGTTGTGCACACGA